TAAAAAAGGATATTTTTAAAGTCAAAGATAAGAACATACAGAAAGAAAAGAATAGAAAGAGGTAGATAAATAGTAAAAGATAAGAAAAGAAGAAGAAAACAACAAAAAACAAAGCAAATATAATGAAAAGAAAAAAAGAAAGAAGAAGTAAAATAAAAGTCATTTTTTAATAAATTTTAAGAGAAATTGTTCAATAGTTTTAGAATCACATTGACGACGAAAACCATCTTTAGGACGAACAAAAGAAGAAGAAAAGTATTTGATAAGATCTTCTGGATGAAGAGAAGAATTTTGACGAAGAATTTCTTTAATAAAAGATAGTAAATAAATAAAAAGATTATAATGAGAATTTGGAATAGAAGCATTGTTTCTAATAAAGAATTTATCTATTTCAACATCAGGTTTATCAGCGGATAAAATAACATGTTCATATAAAGAAGAAGGAATAATAGAATCATTAAGATTTACTAAAAAGATTAATAAGAATTCTAAAACACGATGATAATTTAAAGAAGGATTAAAAGAAGAATGAGTATCAAGAGAATGTAATATTTCATAATAAATAGGAACATAATCAATTGAAGGATGTGATAAAGAAATAAAAGTAGGGTCATGCATAAAAGGAAGTACATAATCACAAAGTCTCCAAATTTCTTTAGGAATAACTAAAGGAGTATAAGCTTGAGGTTGAGATAAAATATAACCATTAGGATGTAAATTTAAGTCATCAATAGATTTACCAAATGAAGTTTGTAATAAAACTAATTTAAAAGTAATAAATAAACTTTTTCCACCTTGAATTTCAAGAATCAAATTATAATCAAAAGATCCATTTTTAAATAAACTTGATGTATCAATAAAATTGAATTGAAAATAGAAAGTAATACTTTTAGGTTCAAAATCATTTTTTGATATTTCTAAATGTTGTGGTTCAATATGTAACCAATCTGGATATCCTCCAGCTTTTTCTATTTGATGATCTCTAAAAAGTATTGATGTTTTAGCATTTCCATCATTTTGAACAAGTAATGTAACTTCAGTTTGTTTATATGGATAAATTTCTACTATAAATTCTTGTTTATTAATTTTAACTGATGGTCTAACAATTCTAAGTAGTTTATTTTCCATTTCAATAAGTTCTTTTTCAATTAATGTATATTTTTCTTTTATAATACTTCTTGTTTCAACACTATAACATCCAATAACTGGTTTATGATCTGATTCAATTGCTTCTTTTTTACTTATATATTTTAAACATTTAATTTCTAATCCTTTACATTCTTTATATAATATTCTATCACAATATGCTGGTTTTCTTTTTTCTGAATAATTTTGTGTATTTGGATAAAATTTATATGTTGGTTCAAATTCAATTTCTGCTTCTTTAAATTTTCCTAATAATTCATTATGTTTTTGTTGTACTTTTAATTGGTCTTTTTCTTTTATTATTTCTGTAATACTTCCTTTATTAATTCTTTCTCTAATGATACTATCTTCTTCATCAATTCTATAATTTAAATCTCCCATCCAAAATATAATATCATGTCCTTCAATTTTATTCCATTTGCTTTGTTCTCCTTCTTCAGTTCTTATTAATTTAATATTATTATAAATATCACTAAAATTCCGATTTCTTTTATTAATTTCAGGTTGATGTGCTGCAAGATGTGACCCTACTAAACATATAGTTGTATCATACATTTCAAATGAAATTGCAATCCCCCCTTTATTTGCCATTCCCATAGCTCCAACTGCTTCATATCCACTTGCAAATTGTTTTATTTTATTTTCCATTTCTTTTCTAACAAATCCAATTATACAAACACCTCCTAATTGTGAAACATATACTTGTTTATATTCTTCTTTGTAAATATTTTTTAATGCTTCTTGAATATTTTGTGCTAAATTTCTTGCTTTTAAACTTAATGTATTTCCTTTAAGAAATCCCGAAACACTCATATCTATTTCTTCAACAACTATAAATATCATATCAATTTGATATTCTTTTATTTCTAAAATATATTCAAATGTTTCTTTTTTAATTATTTTTTCATTAATGTTATATGTTACTAATAACATATTCACATCTTTTCTTATTGAATATTCATCTCTTCGTTCTTTTATTTTATCATATCTCCAATTTAATGGGTCATCTGCATATCTTTCAACTATATTTTGTTATTCTCTTATTATTATTATTATTATTATTTGTAGTAACAAACTTTCTTCTTGAGGAATGTTCATTTCTTTCCTTTCTTTATTTCTCCTTTGTTTTTTAGTTTCTTTTTTTATTTTTT